CCAGTAGCTGGGTATGAAGCTGAAGTAGAATAGCAGCTTTTGGCCAAACATGAAACAGCAGTAGAGCTCCCTTTCACCCCTACTTTCTCAAATTTAGTCATTCCTCGGAAGGGGCCCAGTAGGGAGAGCCATTGGACTGACAGCTTCCCAGCCTTCTTCATCTCTGGTGACTAAAGCGTTGAACATGGCATCTGAGAGAGTCTCAGCAAGGTTCATTTTGATACTGGGCATTATTAACTGAGTGAGTGGGTTTTCACCCTTATTTGCCTGTTTAGTTTCCCCAGTACCTTAGTCTTCCTTGCTGGTGGACACAGTCAGTGAATCTTTTGGCTTAGTTGATACACAGGGCTTTCATTAGAAGGGGATGAGAACCTGAGTGAGTTTTTAGCAAGTGGCTCCCAGGCTTCATATTTACCTTCTTGATGCAACTGTGGCATCATTTGGTATGAACTGCTGAAGCTTGAATTCGAATAATAAAAAGTATTTAAATTTTGGCTCCGCTACTCAACTTACACTCATCCGAAACTTAATAATCTGCAAATTTAAACCTGAACATAAAAATGGATTTACTGGGGCACCTGCGTGGCTCAGTTGGTTAAGCGTCTGCCTTCGGTTCAGGTCATGATCCCAGGGGTCCTGGGATCGAGCCCCGCATCGGGCTCCCTGCTCCGCCGGAAGCCTGCTTCTCCCTCTCCCACTCCCCCTGCTTGTGTTCCCTCTCTCGCTGTCTGTCTCTGTGTCAAATAAAGAAAAATCTTTAAAAAAAATGGATTTACTTTTGTTTTTTTTTTGACCCTGTGATTTTATTGTCTGCTGCAAAACAGAAGCAAATAATGAGTAGCAGCAGTGCAAAGCATGAGAAAGGAGATGGGGACCAAACTGACTAAAAATGCTAAGAGCTGGTGTATGTCTTCTCTCCAGGATCACTGGCGGGTTGGATGGAGGTAAAATCCAGTATTCAACTGTCAACAGTTTCTTAGTATTTGTGTTGTGTACTCTGATGAAGGAATGTGTCTTGCTGTCTCATACCTCTGTAACAGCTTCCCTGCCTCAGATGACTTGCTTCCTCCTTCTTCCTGCCTGCTCCTCCCAGGCTACAAAACTCAGAGCGGGAAATCCTTCCTGGAGCCCCGAGTGTGACTTCATGCCCTCTTCTTTCTGAGCAGCCACAGCTGTCGGTGCACATCTGCAGTGGTGCTGGTCACATCCTCCTGCCTTCATAAGTAGTGACTTGCTTGTTGGTTGCTCACCTCTTGAGCTTGTTTTCTGAAGACACGTCTGGTTTTTAATTCAATTTTTATATTCCAAGCACCTAGCACAGTGTTAGGTGAGGACTCCATAAAAACCATGACTACTGCTTCTACTATGGCTACTCTTACTACTGCTGGTGGTACTATTCCTACCACTGCTGTTGCTGTGATTGCTGCTGTGGCCAGTGCTGCTGGTGAGCTAGTGGCACCCTCCCAGGCCTGGGGAGTGCACAAGCTTTCACACTGTGATCCCTTTTGGGCACCTTCCAGAGGGGCATGGCAAGGGACGATGAGGAGGCATGCTGGATGGAGGGAAAGGTTTGAGAGTTATGATAGGAAAAGCACTCCCATATTGCAAATGGTGATATGATTATTACAAATTTGCTATAGCTCTTGGATTTTTAAAAATAATTGTACACATGTGACACTGTCATTTTCTGTTGAATATTTGGTTTTCCCACTGAATGCTCTGACCATGGTGATGCTGTAGGAAGAGATGTAAATTTGAGTCCATCTAACACACATTTTATTAATAGTTAAGCAAACACTTATTAACCTAATGAACTTGAACAGGTCTCTTGGCCTGAGCTTCAGTTTCATTACTAGTTTATGATTATGTAATTATCTCTTAGTTTTTTTGAGGATGAAAAGAGGAAACCAATGTGAAAGGGATATATAAGCTGCCAGGCTCTAGACAAAATGAGGTGTTATTATATGGCTGTGGCCAATTTTTCCTGTTTGTAGCACTTTGCACTGAATGGCAAGTTTACTTGGTTTGGAGGTGAGAGCTATGGTCTGGTTGGAAGTACCAGATAATGAGGTTTAAAAAAAAAAAACCAAAACAAGAAAACTGGGAGCAAAGCCATGCCCCCCCCCCCACTTCACTACTTATGTGACCCATGATAAGTTCCTGAAAAAAGAATCTTAAAGCTATTTAGCTCCAAGGTCATTCACTGTGAGAATGAAGTGGAAAAATATCTGTAAAGGTACTGGGTACATTGCAAGTGCTTGGCCATTGTTTAGAAAGCATTCCTTCAGGGCAGAGAATGGTAAAAGTGAATCAAAAAGGTTCTGAACAGGCAGCATGCAGAGGAAAAAGCCTAACTCGTACTGGTGTGACCTGAGTAAGTCCTGTAATGGCCCTAATTCCATTTCCTCAGATATGAATTGGGAGTAATAATAGTTTCTTAATTATCTCTTAGGGTTATTGTAAAAACTGAAAGTGGTAAAATATCACCTGACGTGTAAAAGTGGCTCAAAGATTTAGTTTAGAGTCATGCCTATGGTAATTCTCCTTATTTCCAAAGATGGCCTTTTTTTACTTATTTTTTAAATCTTTTTTTAAATTATTATGTTAATCAGCATACATTACATCATTAGTTTTTGATGTAGTGTTCCATGATTCATTGTTTGCGTGTAACACCCAGTGCTCCATGTAGTACGTGCCCTCTTTAATACCCATCACCAGGCTAACCCATCCCCCCCCACCCCCCTCCCCTCTAGAACCCTCAGTTTGTTTCTCAGAGTCCATAGTCTCTCATGGTTCGTCTCCCCCTCCGATTCACCCCCTTCATTCTTCCCTTCCTGGTATCTTTTTCTAAGATAGTCTTTTTTTAAAAATAGATTTTATTTATTTATTTGAGAGAGAGAGAGGACATGAGCAGGGGGAAGGGCAGAGGGAGAAGCAGACTCCTTGCTGAGCAGGTAGCCCGATGTGGGGCTTCATCCCTGGACTCCTGGATCATGACCTGAGCTGAAGGCAGATGCTTAATGGACTGAGCCACCCAGGCACCCTCCAAAGGTAGTCTTAAGCCATGTCTAATTTTATATTGATGGAATATAGTGTCTAGGATACTCTTGACAAAATGCAGGCAAGTCAACTGTGTAACTTGACTGCCTCCATTTCAGGCCACCTTTTGGGTGATGAAACAATGAAAAGAATAAATGAAGATGAAGGAGCAGAGGAAAGAGGCACAGCTGGTGAGAAATGGAAAGATGATGTCAGAGCAAGAAGTGATGAAAATTCTAGCAATTTTTTTTAAGTAGGCTTCCATGCCCAACACAGGACTTGAACTCACGACCCTGAGATCAAGACCTGAGTTGCAAGAGTCGGATGCTTAACCAACTGAACAACCCAGGCGACCTGCAAATTCTAGCAACTTTGATCAGATGAAGGCTTTCTTCCTGATCCCCTCTCCCCTGTCCTTTCTATGGAAACCCTTGTAAAGAGGAAGCAAACCAAAGCACGTTGGGAAAAGCCCCATGTGGTGGGGAGAGTGCCAGGGCCCCTGCCTGAGGAAGCAGGCCCCGGACACTGACTCAGTGTATTCTTCAGTGAAGTTGGGGCTATGTAATAATGACATGTATTGAAATTGTACTGTGTGTGCCACCTGGACATTTTTAGTGAATTCTCAAAAATAATGTCAGGCCAGTTGTGAAGCTGAGATGTTCCCCAGTTATGGAGTTAGTAGGTGGCAGAGCCAGGATTTGAACCCAAGTACTCCACATTACCTCCCCCTTTCAGCTTTAAGCTTCTACACCATGGTGGCCAAAGATGTCTGAGCAAGCAGATCTGTGGGGGCACCACTCAGAAGTGGTTTATGTTAGCAGTTTGTTTTATTGGTCCTTCTAAAGGTAGAGTTGGGGAATAAGCTCTTTTACTCCTGAGAGCTCAGGGAATAAACAGAGTTGGTTTCTGACAGGTTTTTAAATTGAGAAGAATGTAAATATTGGCTTGTAGACTAGTAACAGGGCTTCCATTGGAGGGGCAAGCAGAAGAGCAGCCTATGAACTAGCCCAGAGGAGTGAGGTGACCCAGGAGACCCTGGTATTTTGGATGCTAAAGGAGTGGGGATCCCTTCTCAAAGGTCATGGTGCTAAACTGTGCCCAGTACTGCTAAGAGGTCAGACCAAACAAGAACCAAAAAGGCCCATGAGATTTACCAGTTAGAATGCAGATGGCTTCGCTAGTGTTTGAAATCAAATCACTCATCGGGCGCCTGGGTGGCTCAGTCGTTGGGTGTCTGCCTTCGGCTCGGGTCGTGATCCCAGGATCCTGGGATCAAGTCCCGCATTGGGCTCCCTGCTCTGCGGGAGGCCTGCTTCTTCCTCTGCCACTCCCCCTGCTTGTGTTCCTGCTCTTGCTGTGTCTCTCTCTGTCAAATAAATAAATAAAATCTTAAAAAAAAAAAAGAAATCAAATCACTCATCTCATTCTGTTTCTATTTAAAAGGATTTGCCCCAGTGGTCGTTCTTTAATTTTGTCCCCAGTTTTGGGGATTGTTTCTTCTTTTGGGCCACTCTGTGCATCCGCTACTTCATACAGCTCATGTAAAGTGCCTTGTCACTGAAATTATCCCCCTGATTGTTAAATCACCATGAAGATACACTTCTGCTGCAGCTGCATAGCTCAACAGTCTCCAGAAGACCCTCCAAATCTTTTCTGGACCAGGTTGTTTAAGTCAGTCAACAAATCTGCAATTATAATGATCATGTTTGCCTTCAAACATATTTTAGCTGCATCTGAGAGCTAATGTATTTTTTTTAAACTTTTTTTATTAAAAAATATTCCAGTCATGCATTTTGATGGCTGGAAGAGTGAATTAATAGTAGTCTAATCACCCTGGAGACACAGATGCTTTTGTGAGCTAGCACTGAGGTAAGGCTGCACATCTCGGTGGGAATGACAAGTGAATGAGTCTGCCGCTCGCTTAACCTGCTGTTCTTTTCTCTCTCTATTTTCTCTCCTAGGAAACAGATGGAAGACTGCTGTGACCCCGCCCATCTCTTTGCTATGACTAAAATGAATTCCCCCATGGGGAAGAGCATGTGGTATGATGGGGAGTTTTTATACTCATTCACCATTGACAATTCAACTTATTCTCTCTTCCCCCAGGTTAGTATAGTTTGTTGTTGCCTTTCAATTTAGTTTCCTGTGTATCTTGATATCGTAGGGAAAAGATAATTGAGTTTGCCTAATTAATCAGATCTCCTTTTCATCTCCTTTCTTCTTTTCTTCATTATAAATGTTTTTCTTTATAGCTGTCACCTTTTTTGGTGAAGAAATCACATAATGTTTCCATGCAGGGGCAGAAGTAATAATTTTCCTAGCCCTTCTGATTTGAGAATATCAGGGCTCATATGAGCCCTTCTCATATGAGACTGAAGGGAGCGAGCAGAGAAGGAAGCAAGATCAGGAATTGTGGAATTCTCGTGTTTCGAGGTTGGCTGTGGAATGATCTTGAAGATTTGCAATACTGGAATGTTTTCTTAGGACTGGTGTTGCTCTCAGGGACTGGGGACCATATGGTCAGAAGTTTGCTTCTTAGAGCTCTTGGATCTTAACCCTGTGGTTAGACACTGTTCTGAAGTGGAGGAGTGGTGGATAGGGAGAGAAAGGATTCCACCGCTTTTGAAGTGGTCTCAATCAAGCCTTGTTTACTTAAGGTTTTTCTTCTTGGTTTCCTGTGCAATGAAATCAAATGTTTTACTAAAATATATGCAGTGAAAGGGAAAAGTAGAGAAATCGTTATTTCTAGGGAGCCCTAGTTGGAGAGGGGGATGGTTCTTAGGTGCCATTAGGGAGAAATGGAGAAATGAAGCTTGGCCTCGCCAAGTCTTCAAGCCACTCCTGGTTTGGCCAGATGATTAGGCAGAAAGGGAATTCACAGTTAGAGTTGGCAAACAGAGCTGGACCTTTCGTGTATCTGTATTAATAGCGATGAGTCTTCAGAGGAGGGAGCCGATGAAGCTGAGACACAGGCCCTGCCAAATCCAAAGACACATTCTCTATGAAATAGCCCATCTCTGCTAGTTCATCCCTAGATGTGTTAGTTGAACTTAATGGTCTTAGTGTGTAATGATGTTTTTAAAAAAGTTTTTATTTTAAAGTAGGAAAGTAGAAGGTTGAATTCATGGCCATCATCCATGTGTTTTCTCTCTCTTCTCCATTTGCCCTTGGGAAGCTTCTCAGTGTCAAAGGAAATGAGTAAGAATGATAAAATGTGAGATTGAATTTCTTCTCCATTTCTTACTAACCAAATGCCCTGCTAAGTCACCTAACTCTTCTGAGACTCAGCTTTCTCATCTGTGCAGTGGGGAGAGCAGTACCTGTCCTCCCACCTCACCGAGTTGTGGTCAGGATCAAGGTGGATAATGCATGTCCATGTACTTTGAAAACACACAAAGCATGATGTAATTGTCCTGGTTCATATATCGCATCTTCAGATTGAGGAATGAAGGATATGATTGCATTATTCAGGGTTTAAGGCAGGGAAGAGAAATCTTCCTAGGTATTTTTTAGCAGAAAAATATTTCTTATTGGGAATTAGGTGCTTTAAAAAGCATTAGAAAGAATGGAGAAGTGGTAGTCAAGAGGTGGCTCCTGGAATTACTTAGTTCAAGAATTTACTGCCATAACTGTGGTTAAGAGATCAGAAAGCCCCGGCTGCCACTGCTGTTAACATGGTCACAACAGTCTGTGACAGAAACAGGGTCAGGAAGATGGGTTCCTATTCATCTTCTCCTTCCAAATCTCCCTCAAGTGCATCTAATGGGGAAGATTAATTTGCATCTGGAACATTAGTTGCAGAGAAATCCAGGAGGGGCAGTTTTTAAAACAATCAAGCTTCAGGGCGCCTGGTGGCTCAGTTGGTTAAGCGACTGCCTTCGGCTCAGGTCATGATCCTGGAGTCCCAGGATCGAGTCCCGCATTGGGCTCCCTGCTCGGCAGGGAGTCTGCTTCTCCCTCTGACCTTCCCCCCTCTCATGCTCTCGGTCTCTTATTCTCTCTCTCAAATAAATAAATAAAATCTTTAAAAAAATAAAATAAGCTTCAGCAGTAAGCTAGGAAAAAGATGGAATAGAGGGTGAACAGGCCAATCCATGGTACCCTTTATGTACAAAACCTGCTATCAACTTGCTCTGAAGTGAAGAAGAGATAAGGAAGCAATCTTCTTTAAAGCTCATCAAATAGAAACATTTTTAAAGAAATCCAAAATAGTCTTTTTATACACAAGAGTTTTCAGTCATCCCAACTGACTTCTAACTTTGTGCTAGCAAATAGATTTGAAGAAAAGAGGTGATTAAAGAAATACAAACTAGCCTCCTATCTTATCTGTCAGGTGCAGCAGTAAGATCGCAGGAAACATTTCCTTTTTAAAGCGTGTGCGCATGAATTCTGTGCTTCTTTGTGCTGGTTGCAAGACCAAGGAACCATCCCTGAATAATAAGGAAAAATGTTTTTTCTTAGGAAGCAGAAGTCATTACATCATTGTGTGTGTGCACAGTCATGACAAAGAGCTAAACCAATTCAACGAGTAGATGTTTTTTTTAAAGTTACATATGTATTTTTCTGCTGAGGTTCTGAAATGACTAATTTATAGAAATCCCGGAAAATCAGTTTGCAGCAATAAAAAGGATGGTATATATCCCTGTGCCCTCACTTCATTATTATTCCTTAGTGAAATATTCCTACATTGTTATCAGGAAGCTACGTTACCAGTTAATTGATATGCTTCATTCATATTCCTGTGGGAAGAAAGTTGTGTGTGCTAGTCAGGCAGAAAGGCAACTAAGTGGGCTAGGCTCGATGTTGTTGGTTGAACAAAGCATCCCTTCTTTCCCTGAATTTCAGCAAAATAATGCCAAATCACTCATGCTGTAACTCAGATGTATAATTCTACATCACATTTTAAATTATATAGTTTAAACAGTTCATCTTAATTTTATTACACTTTCCTCCTAAATGCTCAATGTATGTTAGCTCTCATCATTATCGTTATTCTGTTGCCTACCTTTATCCACTGTTTTTTTTCTTGCTCCTGGGGTTGTTGCCAAGAAGCAATACAAGGTCCTGCATGTATTGTGCAAAGTTAACAGGCCCTGAATCAAGGCTGGAGGGTCCAAGGAGAGCCAGTGTGCATTTTATTTATTTATTCACTTATTTATTTATTAAAGATTTTATTTATTTGACAGAGAGCGCATAAGCAGGGGGAGTGGCAGGCAGAGGAAGGGAGAGAAGGGCTCCCTGCTGAGCAAAGAGCCCAATGCAGGACTTGATCCCAGGACCCTGGGATCATGACCTGAGCTGAAGGCTTGAGTGGCTTAACTGACTGAGCCACTCAGGCACCCCGCCAGTGTTCTTTGAGATGCCAGAGTGAATCTCCTTAATTACAATTCTTTCTTTCTTTCTTTCTTTCTTTCTTTCTTTCTTTCTTTCTTTCTTTCTTTCTTTCTTCCTTTCTTCCTTTCTTCCTTTCTTCCTTTCTTCCTTTCTTCCTTTCTTCCTTTCTTTCTTTCTTTCTTTCATTAGTTGTTTCTTATTTGGACCTCTGTAACTTCCTGTAGTGTTATTATCAAATTCATTCAGTTCCACCCCATATACAGTTATCTACATGACTACATATCCACATGTTACGGTTTTCTGAAAGTCCTTATCTGCTGATCTCAATACCATCTTGTGAGCTTTTGAGGAACAAGAGTATTATTTCAGTGTTGGTCCTAGTGCAGGATTTCCCACTTGATAGAGATATTCATTTCCAGCTGCTTGTGTTTACCTAGGGCTCCCTGTCTTTATTCTGCCTGGGGTGATCCACTGCAGTGCCTGGCTTGAGCAGTTGGAGACCAAGCAGGACATTTTGATGCAGCTATTTCCAATGACTCTATAAATGTATTTTCGTCAAGTATTGGTTGAACATTATTAGGCTTAAAGGGCTGAATTTTAACTCTTACATAGATTTTTCTAGAATATGCAGTGTGTGTGTGTGTGTGTGTGTGTTTGGAGGGGACATTGTTTTTTTTACAATATATACTATTTTTATCTTTTTTTAAATTAACATATAATGTATTATTTGTTTCAAGGGTACAGGTCTGTGATTCAACAGTCTTACACAATTCACAGCACTCACCATAGCACATACCCTCCCCAATGTCTTTCACCCAACCACCCCATCCCTCCCACCCCCACCACTCCAGCAACCCTCAGTTTGTTCCCTGAGATTAAGAGTCTCTTATGGTTTGTTCCCCTCTCTGGTTTTGTCTTGTTTCATTTTTCTGGAGGGGACATTGTGATGGTAAGTGTTCCTACTTTGAGAATACTCCCATCTCCTGGGTCCCCACTTCCTTCCTGCTTTGCCAAAGACCGTCCCTTTTAAGTATGCATGGTCCCATGTGTGTAGATATTACTTAAATAAATACTCTTTTGACCTAAAACATATTCATGCCCAGAAAAAGCATAAATTTCCTTGGAAATGAGTGAGGGAGCAGCAGGAATGTTAGAAACCACAAGTGTGCAGTTATAATCTGAAAAATATTTCCTTTTGGTGTAATAAAAACACGGTCAGCTCACTCTTCTCTTATATTGTGCTGAATAGTCATGTGATATAAATCACAAGCCAGACTAGCCATTTTTTTCTCAGAGTATCCACCCAAGGCCATTTGTAAAGAATCACAAAGCATCATTAATGCACCCCAGACACACTCATTTCCAACTCCTCTGGTTGCCATAAGCTCTCTGACGCGTTCCACTTGACCTGGACCTGCATTGCCCTTGGCCTGTGGGAAACCCAGCAGGACATTCTGAAGTAGTTTTGTCTAAATGGCTTTGTTAAAATGAAAATACACATTTTTTTTTTTCCTTTACAGTCATGTGTTTGTTTAATAGAATCATCTGAGCTCCTGGATATCCCTGAGTCTCACAGCAATTTTTTTTTCCTGCTAATGAAATTTGGATTATACTATTTTTCTATAGCATTTGGTAACTTGTTTTTTTACTTATCAATATTATTGTGATAATTTTTCCAATCACGTACCTTTTTGACTAGAAGGAAACTAAGGGGACTAATGTTTGGTGGGCATAGATCTTTGCCAAGTCTGTGTTATGCTCATGTTGTCAGG